GGAAGTTTCTCCTTAGTTCTAGGTTGCTTCTCTCCTTGATGAGTTTCCATCCGTTGCTTCTTGTCCTGCCTTCAGGCGCCTTGGAAAATAGCTTGACTCCCTCTTCTTTGGGGCAGCCCCTGAGATACTGGAAGACTGCTATCATGTCCCCCCTGGTCCTTCTCTTCATTAAACTAGACATACCCAATTCCAGCAACCGTTCCTTATATGTTTTAGCCTCCAGTCCCCTGATCATCTTTGTTGCTCTTCTCTGTACTCTTTCTAGAGTCTCAACATCTTTTTTACATCGCGGTGACCAAAACCGGATACCGTATTCCAAGTGTGGCCTTACCAAGGCCTTGTAAAGTAGTAGTAACACTTCACGTGATCTTGATTCTATCCCTCTGTTAATGCAGCCCAGCACTGTGTTGGCCTTTTTGGCAGCTGCAGCACACGGCTGGCTCATATTTAAGTGATTGTCCACTAGGACTCCGATAAAGAGTTAATGAGTTAACAGAGACTGGACAGCCATTTGTCCGAAATGGTATAGGGTTTAAGAGTAAAACATAAAAGTAAAAGAAAATGGCCGCGTCTCCGTATGTGGTCAGAGCGAGAACATTCGATGTTAGCAGCGTTGACAGTGACTGCCGAGGTACCACTGTAAATGATTGTGGTTTTCTTTTGCTTTCCATTCCAGCTGGAGACGGGATGGTCATCAAAGCAGAACAGCCACGCCTGTGTCCCGAAGAGCCGGCGAGACCGCGGGAGATGCTCTTCCACGGAGAATCGCCTGCAGCGGCCGGTCTCGCCGTTCCTCCCACCGCGGAAGGCTACGATGCTCCTCGCGTGCCGCCCGCCAGCCCCAGCAAGTGCCGAGCGGGTAAACCGCTGGAGTTAGACAACGAGCTGCAAAGCATCCTGGGCCCCCCTCAGGCCTCGGCCGAGCGTCCCCACGGCTGCAGCGAGTGCGGCAAGATGTTTGGGGTGAAAAAGAGCCTCAAGGTCCACCAGCGCAGCCACCACGGCCAAGCCCGGCTGTACGAGTGCGCCGAGTGCCGCAAGAGTTTCAACTGCCACTCGGGTTTGGTGCGGCATCAGATGACCCACCGGGGCGAGCGTCCCTACAAGTGTGGCGAGTGCGGCAAGTGTTACAGCCGCAAGGAGCACCTGCAGAACCACCAGCGGCTGCACACGGGCGAGCGCCCCTTCCAGTGTCCCGTCTGCGGGAAACGCTTCATCCGGAAGCAGAATCTACTCAAGCACCAGCGCATTCACACGGGCGAGCGCCCCTACCAGTGTGCCGAGTGCGGGCGCAGCTTCCGCTACAAAGAGTCCCTCAAGGACCACCTGAGGACTCACGGCGGCGAGGCCTCAGCCCAGCGGCTGTTGCCCGTCTTGGGGAGTGATGGTCTTCCCTAGCATTTTGCAGCGGCGGGGAAGAGCTTAGCCACTCGGCCCGTCCGTTGAAGCCTGCCAGTGTTCCCTCCGGACCCCCCCAGTCCCACATCTGCAGTTCTGCTGAATCTGACAGAACAGCTGGATGCAGAGCAGCTGGAAAAGATGGACTTGTTCTGCGCCAGAAGCTACACCGAGTGCCATAAAACCGTTTCTGAAAAGGGACGCTGCGGTGCGCACTGGCAATGTACGCCGAGTGCCGTGAAGCCGTTTCTGAAAAGGGACGCTGCGGTGCGCACGGGCGATGTACGCTGAGTGCCGTGAAGCCGTTTCTGAAAAGGGACGCTGCGGTGGTGGACGGGCGACGTATAGCTGCTTGCAACCAACTAATCTGACTCCTTTTCAGCTGAGGATGCTAACGGTGCGAGAATCACACCTCCCAGTACAGAAAGGTCCCGGCTGTTTGGGGGAATTTAGAATGTGGGGGGGCGGACACCGGAAGTCTGAAAAGATTTCCGACCCCCAATTTCCTCCTTCCCTCCCTCCCTCTGTACTGGCGCACCTGTGCGGTACGTGCACTTGTGCAGGATGTTTATTCCTTGTCTGTAAGACACTAACGCCGAGCGGTCCCATGCTGCTGGATGCTCAACGTTCATTGTGCGTCCTTCGGGCTTCTGTTAGACACTGCCAGCCGCAGAGTGATACCTTTTCCCATCGGTGTCTAGCGGAGTGACTCGCAACTTTTCTAGCGGCAGAACCACGCTCCGGATGGATCGCGTGCTAAAAAAAACAAAAAGATGTTTTTCCAAATGTACGGACGGAACCCTTTAGGCGGAAAGCTTTCCGTTCTGTAGTTCACACTCCGTGGGACTTCACGTTCGAGTCACCGGTTGTTCCTCTTTCTTTTCCTCTTCGCTTCCTTTTACGGTTCACAGTTTTGTTGCGAGAGCGGGAAAAACCTTTCGGCCCTCGGAACGAAATTGTGCGCGTCTGACCTGTGGCAATCCTATTCATTCGTTCTCCCCGGGCTCTCCCCCTCTGCTGCTTTTAGGATTTTAAAAGTCCCGTTATCTCACAAAACGTGGGCCACCTCGTTGGTTTTTTGGGTTTTTTTAAAATGAACAATATATTAAAACACCCCCACACAGAGAGAGACGTTCTTTTCAGGATGTAGTTTTGTATCAAAGGTGTGTTGCAAATACAGACCGCTTACAAAAAAAAAAAAAAGACAGAATCGCTTGCGTTTTTTATTTATTTTTTGTTCATTCGCTTTGGAGATGTTTACGGGTCGAAGACTGGCAAATCATGCTATTAACACGTCGTCCTCGATGTACGACAGTTCATTTAGTGACCGTTCAAAATGACGACAGCCCTGGGAAAAAAGCAACACGTGTTTCACACGCGGGACCCTTGTCGCGTCCCCGTGGTCGCGCGATTCCAAATTCAGGTGCTCGGCAACCGACTCGTACTTGCGACGGTTGCGGTGTCTTCCCCCCCTGGGGTTGTGCGATCCGCTTTTGCGACCTGGCAAGCGAAGTCAACGGGGGAATGACAGCCCTGTTGCTGACTTAATAACTGCAGCGATTCGCTCAAGCGCCCTGGCGAGGGAGATCGTAAAATGGGGAAAATTCATTTGACAAATGTCTCAGTGACGTAGATTTCGGGCTCGGCTGTGGTTGTAAGTGGAGGACGACCGTATTGATCACTAGGGGAACATCGCCAATTGTAGAAGGAAGTGGGGTTGAAGGGAGGAAGAGGAGGAGGTGGTGGACCAGAAGGATTTTTTTGGCATTGATTGATGGATGATGACGTTCGATCAAGTGGGTGGTTGACCGTAGTGACCACATATTGACTCCTTGCTCCTATCGGTAGTTGCCCTCTTCTTCTCTTTCTTTCGCTCCTGGCCAGGTTGGGATATTTCTATAAATAATAATAATAATAATAATAATAATAAATAATAATAATAATAATAATAATAATAATAATAATAATAATATCCCAGATCCTGGGTAAGAACTCGATAGGTAGACAAAATGCCAAATCCAGTCTGAACATCTGGCTGACTGTGCGATGATCCATAATAATAATAATAGTAGTAGTAGTAGTAGCAGTAAAGTTGGAAGGAACCTTGAAGGTCATCTAGTCCAACCCCCTGCTCAGGCAGGAAACTCTATACCATTTCAGACAAATGGCTGTCCAGTTTCTTCTTAAAAACCTCCAGTGTTGGAGCATTCACCACTTCTGGAGGCAGGTTGTTCCACTGGTTAATTGTTCTCACTGTCAGGAAGTTTCTCCTTAGTTCTAGGTTGCTTCTCTCCTTAATTAGTTTCCACCCGTTGCTTCTTGTCCTGCCTTCAGGCGCCTTGGAGAATAGCTTGACTCCCTCTTCTTTGGGGCAGCCCCTGAGATACTGGAAGACTGCTATCATGTCCCCCCTNGCTGCACTTACCTCCTCCTCAAGGCTGCTGCTGCTGTGCGTGCTCTCCTTAGCCAGGTTGCTCATGATGGCTACCAGGGCAAAGTCAGAGGGAGACTGAATGCCTTTCAGCATAGAGGGCCACCACAAAATTGTACATTTGCTTCCGGCCAGAGCCAAGGCAGCGGGGGCCGTTCCCTTACTGTTTCCAGGATGGCTTGGTGGGCCACATGAAACCACTTCGCGGGCTGCATCCGGCCCCCGGGCCTTGTGTTTGACATGTCTGGTCTAGAGTCTCAACATCTTTTTTACATCGTGGCGACCAAAACTGGATGCACGTTACTCGTTTTGGGTTATCTTATGCAGTTTGTTTGTTTGTTACAGTTTGTTAACAATAGCACAGTTACCCAAGTTAGCCTGACTAGGCTAAACAAAGAATCAATAAGCAACTGCCCAACTAGACTATCCAAGTTGCTGTCAGAGATGGTGCCCAGCAAGGCTACTCAAGTTGAGTAGTAAGTAAGTATTGCTGCCCAACTGGGCTACTCACCCACGCAATCAATACTTACACACAACAAGAGTTGGCCAGGCTGTGTTAGAGCGAGCTGGGAATTAAGACTTCAGGGGCGTCCCCTGCTCCCCCGTGCAGGTCTCACGCTTCCGAAGGCCGTCGGCGTTTTATTTCTCCTTTGATGGCCAACTTGTTTAATTCCAAGTCTAAATTCAGGACAGGTCAAGAAATGTTTACAGACGAGTCGTGTACGGCGCTTCTTGAAAAGTGCAGCGTAAGCAAATTGCCTTCCAAACGCCCACTCAATGTGACAGCTGTTATCTGTTGCTCTCTCACACACACACACAAACACACCCACCTTGCCATGCCATGCTTTCCAGCCAGGTGAGTTTCCTGAAGGGTTCATGAATAGGAGAACATGGCTATCCTTTGGTTCTGTTATAGACACGATAGTATATATTTAACAAGTATGCTTTTGTAAACTAGAGATTATATTCTATATAGATATATAAATATACATACAGATAGGTAAGTAGGTGGGTGGGTGGGTGGGTGGGTGG